GCTAATTAACGGACAGAACTGCTAAACTTTGGGGCATGTGGAAAAGCCGGCCGGAGTGTGAAACTCTGAGAAGGAAGAACACTGGGTGCACATTTTCAGCTTGCTGATTTGTATAAATGGAACGAAGGCATAGGCAATGAAATGGATAAAAGGAAACAAGTTAACATAAATGCCTATAGGTTGTACGTCCGCTAAACCTCCAATGCATATCTCTCATCTGGACAAAAAAAAACCTGGAGTACCGGGTCTTCTTGAAGTTTTATCGTTGGGACAGCAAACTACATACATGGAAACAATTTACCGATTGAAAACAAATTCGTAAATGACTCTCATTCAAATTGCAACCGTTCAAGCATGAACATTTGAATAGGAAGAAATATTGCCTGCTTTATTGTTTCAAGGTCCATGAGCCTACCAAATGAAACTTTCTGTCAGGCAATCAATAACACGTAAAGCTCCATTCATCGCAAAAGTTCATCTTCTGGGCTCCGGGAATTTTGATATCCTCCGTTACTCCTGTTGTCAAGCAACAACTCCCGACCTCACAATACGCCAGGAGGGTGACCTGACGTACTAAATCGGCCCGGCCCTCCGTGACTAGAGTGAGTGACGTTCGGCTCCGTCCCCCAGGTGTGTGAGGGACCCTCCACACTGCCGTACTTACCTCCCCACATTGCCATCTCATCAACCCGCCACCCCAGGGGAGGGACAGCAGCGAAATATAGCTGCACCCGACCGCGGCACTCAGTCTCCAGCGCGGGGACACGCCCGCGTCGGATAGACCACGCCCACGGCCGCAATATCGCCGTCCCTGCGCTGTCGACCCCGGAAATGTAGGCTCCATGACTCGATCCAGCTCATATGTGTACGTAGTTCCGGGTTCAAATGGTGCAACCCGATTCACCTTTGCGAGCAGGACTGGTGGCTGGATCCAGAATCACTTACACATAAATTCTGCGTTAGGGGCTTCATATATAGTGCGCACTAAACACAGGAGTGGTAAATTAATACGTAATTTGATCGAATCAAAGATAATTATAATGCTGGTAAACTCCTATAAGGTCTTCTGAAAAATGTCAATTATTGCATGACAAGCTTTAAAAAAAAAACGCGTTTTACCTTCTTTACCACATATATCTTTCCGAAATACTACGAGCTTTGGTGGATGTTGCATTAGATGTGAAATTTTCCAGGAAGAAACGTCAGCAACACTCAAAAGCAGCATTTAATATCAAATTTACATAACGTCCACGACAAGAGCCGTGGGATGGGGAAGTCTGAAGAGCCAGGGGGGGGGGAGGCAAGTGGCTGGGAAGTGCTGCACCCCATCAAATTCCAGCAAAGATAATACGGAAACTACTGCAACATACCCAAAACGGTGTTTACAAGATGTTCCCTAAAACACTTGACCGACACATCAAAATGCCCAAAAGGCCACGACGCTGGCTGACCTGAACGAACAGTTTCAAGGGAATCCACGAACAGGGAACGTTGGGTAGGAACGGGAGGAGTATGAGGGGTGGAACGGGAGGCGGGGCGGGGAGGGCCGTATATGGGGTAGCCCGCCGTGGGGAGGGGTGCACACAAAAAAATATTAACACCGTTAGCGGTGTAATTGCACAGTACATATCTGAGCACTTGAGGAAAGTTAATTTAGTCCCTTCCCCGCTTAAATTACTCGCGCTTCCAAATGAACACCAGGAAGAAGGTAATAGAACACTGTTAGGAGGGTTGGGTGTTTTACTACACACACAGAAAAATATTAACACCGTTAGCGGTGTAATTGCACAGTACATATCTGAGCACTTGAGGAAAGTTAATTTAGTCCCTTCCCCGCTTAAATTACTCGCGCTTCCAAATGAACACCAGGAAGAAGGTAATAGAACACTGTTAGGAGGGTTGGGTGTTTTGCTACATGTAGTAAAACACCCAACCCTCCTAACAGTGTTCTATTACCTTCTTCCTGGTGTTCATTTGGAAGCGCGAGTAATTTAAGCGCGGAAGGGACTAAATTAACTTTCCTCAAGTGCTCAGATATGTACTGTGCAATTACACCGCTAACGGTGTCAATATTTTTCTGTGTGCATGTAGCAAAACACCCAACCCTCCTAACAGTGCTCTATTACCTTCTTCCTGGTGTTCATTTGGAAGCGCGAGTAATTTAAGCGGGGAAGGGACTAAATTAACTTTCCTCAAGTGCTCAGATATGTACTGTGCAATTACACCGCTAACGGTGTTAATATTTTTCTGTGTGTGGTCTGCCGAGGGGGGGGGGGGGCAGCCGGTTTCCACTGAGCCGGACTGTGCTGATCACAGAAGGTGCCTCGGCTCAGAAGCGGGACTGACAAAGCCGCCAGCCGGCTGATCGCATTATGATTGCGCTTCACTGGGCCGTCCTTCTGCGGTGTTGGCGACGATAGAGAAATTGGAAATGTTCGGAAATACCTAAGCTCCGAAAGAAAGTGAAGGAATTCCAGGTAAGGGTAATTGAATTATGAAACAGGTTATATATAGCTCAGGAGTTATTGGAGACGGCTCCAATTAACGTATTTGATGGTCTTGCTTCGATTGGATTGACATCTTCATTTATTGAATTATTTATCTTCATCTAGTTGTTCCATTCTTAATTTTGTTAACGAGCATTCACGCTTCCTTATACTGTAATCACTTCGAACTGTGGCCATCTTTGCTTTCAAAAACCTTTAATTATCAATTAAGCGTTGTTTTTATCTTGCCCTCATCTTGCCACTGCGCTGGTCAAAACCAGCTCTCTCTCTCTCTCTCTCTCTCTCTCTCTCTCTCTCTCTCTCTCTCTCTCTCTCTCTCTCTCTCTCTCTCCATCTCGAGGTCACCCCTCGCCGTCACTTGGGTCGTCGCCGGCTGACGGAAGGCCCGGCCGTCGGGCTCGATTGGCGCCGTAGGTTAGCCCTCAGCACCGGATCGGTCCAGAAAGGAACCATCCCTCGCCGACAGACGGGCTGGCGATGTTGGAGCCCGCTGGTGAAGGCCAAACGAACGGCAGGCGATTGACGAAGGGAAAGGAACCAGCGGCCGATAGGAGGCTAGGTGAATTTAGTATCAAGTAATCAATTCCATCAACTGTTTGTTGATTATGGCTGGAAAAGTAGCACAGCCTTGGACGGTCTTTCATCATTGTTAGTAAGCGTGACGCTCCACTGAAATGCTGATTCAGGATCACTCCCCACTTCCTCCGTTTCACAGTTTGGCGTCAAAAAACACCGCTCACCTACTTTTCCCAGATAGTGGATGTTTACACAAACCATCCGCCTTACAGCTACTTGCCAAGTAACGGAGTGTTTATTAGGCCAGGCTATTTCCAAGATGTTTATCTCAAAGCTGTTTCCATATTTTGCAGCTTCAAGCAAACAAGACAATCCTTCCTTTTTCGGTATTCTTAGCTTTCCTCCAAAGAGCTTGCTAAATCCTTGAAATACAAAACAAAGTCGCGCGTTTAGCGCACTTTTATTCATGTTTCGTCGTGGTGCAATCAATCGACTGTCGATAATATTGCTTCCGTCAAGATCAATGGCAGCCGTAGGGTGTTTTAGTCCAGAAATAGACCTTCCGTCAGCACGGCACCTGTGCAGCTCCAATCTTCCGGGACAGAAAATCTTTCAACTTCTGCGCCGGTGAAATGAAATTGACCACGTATCATATTGCACTTCATATATCATTCTAAATGGGCTTGGATACAGCGGCTTCTGGAGCATTTATCAGTGGGCCTAGAATACAAATCTTGTCTCATATATTTTACTGCTTATGGCGACTTAAGTGCCGCCAATTTCGTTTGAAATAGATATTGCGTTATGAAAGCCCTATTTTACTTTAAGACTGATTTAAGCTCACTAATGTGAAACGGTATTCTACAGCACAATTGTCGTTTTATTTCCGGACATTGGTAGCTAACAATTTCATACATTGTAGCCTCAACAAATGAAAATGCTTGATCGCCGCTAACAACTCTACGTTATCCGAGCCTTTGTGTTTGCAAAGGCAAAAAAGCACTCTGGTATATCAATTCTCACTCCACTTGACTGGGTTTCACTGCGATAGACCCGGCCTATTCAGGGCGAGCGGCGAAAACAGGCTTTCATGGGTAGAACAATAGCTGAAGACCAGCTGGCTGGTCCGAGCGGTGATGAGAATAAGTTCATCTGCTGAGGAGGCCCGAGGCACTCATCAACATTCCGCTCATGTTGATTCCGGCGGGGTCGTACCGTCTCTATCGGGTCATCACAGCCCCCGTGGTGCTCCACTGCTCTACCCGTGTCTCTCCCCTGCTCTCCCAGCTCCGCCCGCATCCAGTAATCATCCATATTGGCAGTGGCCCGAACCTCAGATCACGTGCTCGATTGATATCGCTAATTATGCCACTCCGATCGCTCAGTGAGTAACGCAAGGACAGAGGCGGATCCAGCTCAGAGGTTTGGGGGGGGGCAAACCATAAATTATCGATTCTTTCCATGCATCGTCCATAGGCGCAATGTTAAAATCATGCCGTTTGGGGGGGGGGGGCAAATGCCCATTTTGCCCCCCCCCCCCCTGGATCCGCCACTGCGCAAGGAGGAGCTTCTACTGGGAGCTGAAGCGGAAGTTCTGAGCTAGGCACACCTCACGCCCGTATTTCAATAACCGCACTGCGCACGGTCATAGAATACTAAGGTAACACGGAGCCGAAGCTTCAAGCCAGGGGACACGGGAGGCATGCCGTCAGCTGTCCTTTTTTAAACAATCGGTTTCTTTGAAATAATTTCTTTTGGTTTTTTGATGTCTATCATAAATATAGTACATCAAAAATTAAGTTTTATTTTTTATGAGGTGGGAAATATTTTTCTGTCCAAACCATTCCCGTTTAAAGAAAATAGACAAGGGGAGAGTTTACCCAGGACCCTATGGAGGTTGTGTACATGAGTTTACCCAGGGCCCTATGGGAGAGAGATAACACGTGCTTCTATGGGGCGAATTCGATGCAACAAATGGCGCAGTAGCGACATTACTTTTGTTCGATGTCTCTCGGACGACAAAGATCCTACGCCGTTTGGCCAATCATATTCCATAATCGCAGCCGAGCCCCCGTTGACCTAGAACGGGATTGGCCGGACGACGTACAATCTTCGTCGTCCGAGAGACACCGAACGAGGGGCACATCGACTGAATATACATTGCGATTCAATATTCAGTATTGATTCAGTAGGTATTTTATGACCGTGATTGCAATTTGCATTTGAGCTCAGCAGTCGAGTAAGTTGTGCCAAAAATACCAGAAGTGTTGCATGCCCTGGATGCAGGAAAACAAGATTGAGATGAGTGGATCAAGATGTATCTTTCGTGCAGATGTATCAAGATGTGCCTTTCAGGTGAGGTTCCAGTGAAATTTGAATTCGATAGGTAGCCATTTTTGCTTTTGCTTTGATACTTGTGGTAAGGAAACATGATTATTGTTGCATGAACCGCCCACTGCCCATTGCTGTCTTGTCTCGCGTTTGATATCCAATCACCATTCTTAAATAGCTCACCTTGCCATATGGAAATCAGATTTTAGGAGGCCACTAGGCCTGTGGGGCCTGGTTTCAATGAGCTCCCAGTGCTTAGGACAGTCAGGCTCATATGTTGGTTAAGGTGAGGTTCAGGTAGGCCAGTATGCACTCTGCAAAGCATGGCAATTTCGACAAGATCTCGTCTGTGCCGGCTTGTCCGGCTGGTGAGGGTTTGGTGTAGCGTGGATTTAGCTTGGTGCAGCGCGGATTTTGTGTAGCGCGGTGTGGCTTTGGCCTGGTGTGGTCAGGTGGTGGGGGATGTAGTGTAGTGCATTTTAAATGTGGCTTGGTGATGGACATGATAGACCCAACAAAATGGATGGCCAAAATTGAAAAAAAGCATTAATGGAGCTTTGACATGCAATTTAGTGTGCTCTCGGGCTGATAGGTGTGCGGTGGTCAGAACGGACTATGCCAGTGCTGGTGCGTGGTGGTCCTAGGCTCCATCATGGGTGTCATTCCCTGTTGTGACCCAGGGGGTCTAGTCAAAACCTTACCTATTTCTGCTAACCTAAACCTATTTCTTACAAAGTAGGCAAAATGTGATTATGGTATAATAATAAAATGATTCAAAAGTCTTCATTTCACTCATATTAAACCTGGCCCTTTTTCAGGCGCAAGCTCTGGATGAACTTCTGCGGTGACGTCGGCATTCTTACAGGAGAACCCAAGATTCGCTGTACCTGTATGCATTTCAAAACTGAAGAATTGATAGCAACAAGTAAATATTTGAAGTTGCAGCCAAATGCTGTGCCTTCTCTGCTGCAAGAACTACATGTCACCATTGAAGCAAGGTAAGTGTTAAAAGAAATTGTTCACCTTCTGTAAATAATTTGATGAATAAAATTTAAAAAGATGTGTTAAAAATTTGATGAATAAAATTTAAATGCATTCTGACTTAGAATTACACACTTCTTCTAAAGGGATTTCATTATTTTAATGATTAAAGTTATGAACACTAACAGCTGAACAACCTATCAGCTGCAAGGGATTCTGCTCCTGTAAGTGCTCTCATCGCTGATTGGCCACTGTGTGTTGAAGAGGTTTCTGCTAGCTGTAAATGAGCACTAGAACATGAATTTAAGCACCAATATTCACTGATAAAAGGTGAATATCTCAAACGGTTCAAATATAAGGCATACGCAAATCTGCTCTATCAGACTGCTATCTCAGTTTAAAATCCCATGTTAAAGGTGAACTATTTCCTCGACAGGACCAGCTCGACTCCTGCAGTAGGACTCCAGCCTCGTCCAGTCGTCGCCGCTCGCCAAGACCTGCCGGACTCCTGCAATAGGGGTCCAGGGCCCAGGCTGACCCGTTCGTCCAGTAACCGCCGCTCGTCAGCACCAGCTGGGCTCCTGTAGTAGGGGTCCAGCCTCGTCCAGTCGCCGCCGCTCGCCAAGACCAGCTGGGCTCCTGTAGTATGGGGCTAGGATGGCCCGTTCATCAACCGGTCCTGAAGTCACATCGCTGTCAGCCAGCCGAACTCAGTACATAAGTCACCAACCCTGAATGTTGCCAGCCAAAGTCGGCAGTTTCCTTCGGACAGTCATCTCACCAGTGTTGTACAGTGTACAAGGTTAGTGACGCAGTTAAATGCGTCAATTAAATGCGAGGACGTGCGCTTGTATGCAGCGTTTTGTCATGTTGAGCTGCATGGGTGTCGATTTTCACCGAATTGAGGGTGCCCAGTGCCCACTGCCCGGGCGCAGCAAATCCGCCGCCGCCTTAGCGGTGACCTTGACCCGCACCGTCTGTTGGGGCTCCAAAGCCAAGCCAGCCGAGCCGGAGGGGAATTTAGAGAGCTTGAGCACCCCCAACCCGGCAGAAATTGGCACCTATGTTGAGCTGTATGAATGCGTTTTAGCCTTCCCCGTGGTGGTAAATAGCAGTCTACATGCAGAATTAGGCAGGCTTATTAACGGACTCATCATTTGATTCATTGTGTCACCTTTGTCGGCACGTGTAAGATGTGCTTAACTGCCATTGGCTCTCGGCCTGGCGACTTCTGGGGACCACGTAATGGGGATGACAATTGGGATCCTGTGCCTTAAGCCGGCCATTTACGTCCATGGCTATATACCCTCGTACTAGGGTCAGTTATGACGTATATAGGGATCCACGAGATCTTTTTTGATGAATGGGTTGTGCAGTGTTGAGATCCGCGTGTAACGTCACTGTTTGGCCAGTCTGCCCTCAAACGCGTCATCTTTACTCGTATTTTATTTACATGAACACTTTGCATGGTCCAGTGGTTTATATAGACATCTTCCTTGCACTAGCTAGTTTTATGTGGCCAGGTTGATTGCCTGTCAGCGCGGTCACGCTGTCGTCTTTCGATTGGTGCGCTTAAATGCGGCGAGATGAATGTAGGATTTCCCTATTTAGTACCTGCGCCCAGCTCAACTGGAGCCTTCGGACGGCGCACCTCTTGGCCGGCGTTGTTATCTGAAACTTATTATCTCGGGCGTATGTTGCAACTTGTTGATTGCCAGCGTCGTTGTATTACGTACGCGAAAGCAGTAGCGGCGGAACACCTTCAATTAAGGGGAAGGGGGGGGGAGGCACTGCCGACTTTTGATCCCATTCTTTCCATGTAACGCCCATAGAGCCCATGTTAAAATGCCAAAATCAAAGGGGGGCACGGTGCCCCGGTGCCCTCCCCGTTCCGCCGCCTATGCGCGAAAGTACCAACAGTTTCCAGTTGTTTGTGTCCCAATGTTTTTTTATGTTTTTATTATGTACAGGGACCGGTTGTCGATATCAATGTTATCGGTTGTTACTGGACAGGACAGACGGCTAGACAAGGGATTCGTGTAGAGTAGCAACTGCTGGTCCCCGTACCAGCATTGAAACTGCACCAGTACCAGCATTGAAACTAAATATAAGATATCTCAGAAGGTTGCGCTTTTGGAGTGAGTTGTGGTGCTTTACGCCGTACCTACATCATGCTTAATGAATGTGACCGTCGTGTTTGTGGGATCCCCGTCGGTACTAGTCAGCCCCACGAATCGTGGTAGATCATAAAATAGGCATTGATTTTAAAAGCGAGGCCACGGCCTCTCAGCAGTAGCGGCAGAACACCTTCAATTAAGGGGGGGGGGGGGGGCACTGCCGACTTTTGGTCCCATTCTTTCCGTGCAACGCCCATAGGGCTAATGTTAAAATGCCAAAAGTAAAGGGGACACGGTGCCCCGGCCACCGGTGCCCGCCGCCCGGCCCGTTCCGCCGCCTAGTTTGCCTCTCAGGGTTGGTTCCAAAATGGGCACGGCCGAGGATAATCTTCGCCTCCAGTTATCATTTTGATATATCTACGAAACGATTGCTGGGTGGTACACGAAAGCAACTTTTTCAGGTGAGTTGAAAGGAGAAGAGGTTCTTTGAATTACCATTTCGGTCCATGGTTCTAAAAAGCGCTAGTTTAAAACTATTGTTATAATTCCTATCGTAAACCATCGGACGCTCGACGCTGCATTGGCATTGGTACGATGTGCCGGTAATCGCTCGCCGAGAATGATAACGTGGCAGCTTTACTGATATGTAGGATTATCAATCAAATGTAATAGAAACGATATTAAATCCACTACCCGTGAAATAAGCCTGGCTATCTGGTTGTCGAAGCCAGGCAAATATATGCTTGGAATGGCACGTCCATTGTCCATGACATCATTTAATTGAATTATTTTCCTTCTTAGCACTTAAAATACATTCCAGCGACACAAAACTCCCAAAAGTCTGATATCTTGCCCGTGGTATCGTGGTACGATCGGCGAGTACCTTCCTACGCAATGTCCATGGCTATGCGAAGTCTAAGGTTGGCCTACATAGCCTTGGTTTGGCCTGCTTATCCTATTTCATATCGTATCTATGAAAATAAAGTGTTCACGATCGCATAGCGAAACTGAGAGCAAAATATTTATTTGCAAAACTCCGGCGATACCCCTCGCTTGATACTATTAAAAAACATTGCACACGATCATGCGAAGCCGTGAATCATACCGCCTTTATTTAGCGCCGGCGTTCCCGCGTGAATAATTTCTCCTGAATCGGAGGACCAATAATCAGCTGACGCACCGTTGTTTTGATGTCGGCGGACCGTGCCAGCCTGGCACTGCGGCTGCTACCTTCGTCTGTTCGTCTGCGCTCATTTTCTTCTACCAAATTCTTCTGAAGAGAAAAAGTCGCGCTTTCTCGAGAAACGTTGGCGGTAACGTGAAGATATACCAGGTATCGAGGGCTGCATTTTTATCAGATTAGGCAAGATCGGACCAACTAAACAAAAAAAAAAACATGATAATACTCGTAAATCGTTTAGCGGACTGACTCTGGGTGTAAAGAAGTTATTTTTCCCTGTACTTCGACCTTTATAAAGTAGACCTACTGGAGTACGAACTGTCTGTAAGTTGTGTCACGTGTTTTAGCATCGATCATTTTGAGAATTTCGTGGATGGCGGTATCGGCGGTATAGCATGATTATTGCTTGTTTTTTAATCGCATTGCCCCTTTGAAGACCTGTCAATAAAGGTCGAAGTACAGAGAAAAATAACTTCTTTACACCCCGAGTCAGTCCGCTAAACGATTTATTATCATTAATATGCCTGTGTTTAAATATGACTTTACAGTCTCATATAACAAAAAACATAAATATTAGCACTAGCACCGTACAGAGCACTTCCTAAGGGATGCTGCTTCGATCTATAGCCAGGTCATGGGCATAGGCGGCGGAACGGGGAGGGCACCGGGGCACCGTGCCCCCTTTGATTTTGGCATTTTAACATTAGCCCTATGGGCGTTGCATGGAAAGAACGGGACCAAAAGTCGGCAGTGCCCCCCCCCCCTTAATTGAGGGTGTTCCGCCGCTACTGAGGTCAGGCTGAGGCCAGACAAGAGCACTATTCGTCGAAGATAGGCGAAAAACAGTCGTTCTGTTTGTGTCCGCCTCTGCGCACAGTGGGGATTTTTCCGATCTAGCACGTATTTATTCGTAGGGGGCAAACCATAGGTAGAATTGTAGCCAGATTGTGCACAGATGTTGGCTGGTGTGTCCTGGTGAGAATTTTACCTGTAAATGTGCATAATCAACATATATAGGGGGTTCAATTGGACCCCCGCTCAGCCGTTTGGCCCCTGATCAAGCTAGAGCTTCGCGGAAAAGTCAAGCGTGCTGCCTATGACGAAATTAGGCCGAATATATCCAATTTCAAAGTCCAAGGTCATAAGCTGACTTTCCAAGTCAGTTTAATGACCTAACTAAAGTTGGGAAATCGAGACCTCTTGAAACTTCGCAAAGTTAGGGTGTTACGGGGTATTTTGGGGTGCTGATCACGAATGTCATGTTAGTTTTGATCACAGACGATGTCTTTATGCATTTAGGCCAGGTCGGGTCAGGTCAGGTTAGATCAATTAGTAGGCGTCCTGCCGGCCATCCATAGAAGTGTCACCTACTACTGATAGCTTCGTAACATGGAACGAAGGCACTAGAACTACTTCGTAAATATTTAAATGGCTGCTAAAATCGAAATCAGCACCAAAAACTACCCTAGAAACAAGTAAAACTCGAAAAAGTGAACCAAGGTCATCAAAAGGTCAATGGCCTTGACTTGACCTTCACGTGACCTTGACACCCACCATTATGCATGGCACCAACATCATTTCACATATTTGAACGTTTAAAACCACAAAAAGACTGGAAACCGCGGATAATGTGAGCTGGCATACGCCGAATCGCGATTCCGGCCAAACATGGTCTCGAGAAATATGCCACAGGTCAAAGGTCAGTTGGGTCAGAGTCATGAAATTTTTAGGTTAGATGTAAAATTGATGATCGCGAGGGTACCGAAAGTTTCGGCGCGATCGGCCGCTTTTTGCGCGAGTAATTTGCGGAAAACCATGGGGTTTTATCCGACCCCTTCCCCCTCCCCCTCCCCACAAGTGCGATGGTTAATAAGGTTACGGTATGTATAATTTACGCTTGTCATCCTATTCCTAATGAATGTGTCTCAGAAAATATGCATCATATAAATCACGAAGTAAAATTATTCGCCTATGTCCGAAACATACCTATATCGTGCTGTTTGCCCTAGCGCTCCTCGAGTGGGGTGTTAAGATACTCTAATGTGAATATTCCGTGTTCAGGCAAGTTCCGGCAGCCAAACTAGGCGTTGTCTTGTGCAGAAGAAAGTGGCGAATTCGATAGGATATATTTCGGAGTGGAAAAGTGTGGAGAACATTGTTGATTTCCTACATTTATTTAGAATACCATTCC